CAGCAGAAATAAATGCTATTGAAACAAAAAAGGTAGTAGAAAGGATCAATGAAACGAAGAGCTGGTTCTTTGAGAAGATAAATAAAATTAAAAAACCACTAGCCAGACTCAAAAAAAGAGAGAAAGCTCAGATAAATAATATAAGAAATGAAAGAGGAGAAATAACAATGGATACCACAGAAATACAACAGATTATAAGAAAATACTACAAAAAGCTATATGCCAATAAAATGGACAATTTGGAAGAAATAGATAAATTCTTAGACTCTTACAACCTCCCAAAGTTGAATCAATATGAAATAGAAAATCTGAATAGACAAATCACAAGTAAAGAGATTGAAACAGCAATCAAACGCATCCCAAAGAATAAAAGTCCAGGACCAGATGGCTTCCCTGAAGAATTCTACCAAACTTTCAGAGAGGACTTAATACACATCCTTGTCAAGATATTCCAAAAAATTAGGGAAGATGGAACGCTTCCTAACACATTCTACGAGGCCAACACCACTCTGATACCAAAGCCTGACAAGGACAGCACAAAAAAGGAGAACTACAGGCCAACATCGCTGATGAACATAAATGCAAATATCCTCAACAAAATATTGGCAACCCAAATACAGCAATATATCATAAAGATCATACATCATGATCAAGTAGGATTTATACGAGGGGCACAGGGATGGTTCAACATATGCAAATCAATCAATGTGACATACCACATTAACAAAATGAGGAATAAAAACCACATGATCATCTCAATAGATGCAAAGAAAGCATTTGACAAGAACCAACAGCCATTTATGATACAAAACTCTTTAACAAATTGGGGATAGAAGGACATTACCTCAACACAATAAAGGCCATATATGACAAACCCACAGCCAACATCATACTCAATGGGCAAAAACTGAACGTCATCTCCCTGAAAACAGGAACGAGACAAGGATGCCCTTTATCACCACTCTTATTCACCATAGTACTGGAGGTTTTGGCCAGAGCAATTAGCCAAGAGAAAGGAATAAAGGAATCCAAATAGGGAGTGAAGAAGTGACTCTAGCTGTTTGCAGACATGATCTTATATATAGAAATGCCTAAAGAATCCATCAGAAAACTATTAGAAATAATTAACAACTACAGTAAAGTTGCAGGGTACTAAATCAACTTATAAAAATCAGTTGAATTTCTATACTCTAATAACAAACATACAGAAAGAGAACTCAAGAATACAATTCCATTTACAATCGCAACAAAAAAAATAAAGTATCTAAGAATAAATTTAACCAAGGAGATGAAGGACCTACACAATGAAAACTGTAAGACATTATTGAAAGAAATAGATGATGACATTAAGAGATGGAAAGAGATTCCATGCACATAGACCAGAAGAATACACATAGTTAAAATGTCCATACTACCCAAAGCAATCTACAGATTCAATACAATCCAAATCAGAATCCCAATGACATTCTTCACAGAAACAGAACAAAGAATCCTAAAATTTCACATGGGGCAAAAAAAGACCCCAAATTGCTAACGCAATCCTGAGAAAAAAGAACAAAGCTGGAGGTATCACAGTCCCTGACCTCAAAATGTACTACAAAGCCATAGTTGTAAAAACAGCATGGTACTGGTATAAAAACAGGCACACAGATCAATGGAACAGAACTGAAAGCCAGAAATAAACCCGCACATTGACGGACAGCTAATCTTCGACAAAGGTGCCAAGAACATACAATGGAGAAAAGACAGTCTCTTCAATAAATAGTGTTGGGAAAACTGGACAGCCACATGCAAAGACATGAAAGTAGACCATTATCTCATGCCATACACAAAAATAAACTCAAAATGGATCAAAGACTTGAAGATAAGTCCTGAAACCAAAAAACTCCTGGAAGATAATCTAAGTAGTATACTCTTTGACATCGAATTTAAAAGGATCTTTTTGAATACCATGTCTTCTCAGACAAGGGAAACAAAAGAAAAAATAAACAAGTGGGACTTCATCAGACTAAAGAGCTTCTGCAAGGCAAATGAAACTAGGATCAACACAAAAAGACAACCCATCAACTGGGAGAAAATATTTGCAAATCACATATCTGACAAGGGGTTAATCTCCATAATATACAAGGAACTCATACACTGGAACGACAAAAAAAAAAAACAGTCCGATCAACAATGGAACAATGGGCAGAGGATATGAACAGACATTTTTCCAAGAAGATATACAGATGGCCAATAAACACAGGATGTTCAATATCACTAATCATCAGGGAAATGCAAATCAAAACTACACTAAGATACCACCTTACACCTGTTAAAATGGCTGTAATCACCAAGACTAAAAATAACAAACATTGGAGAGGGTGTGGAGAGAAGGGAACCCTCATACCCTGCTGGTGGGAATGCAAACTGTTGCAGCCACTATGGAAAACAGTATGGAGGTTCCTCAAAAAACTAAAGACAGAACTACATATGACCCAGCTATCCCACTACTGGGTATCTATCCAAAGAACTTGAAATCAACAATCCAAAGTAACACATGTACCCCTATGTTCATTGCAGCACTATTCACAATAGCCAAGACATGGGAACAATCCAAGTGCCCTTCGACCAATGATTGGATAAAGAAGATGTGGTATATATATATATACAATGGAATACTACTCAGCCACAAAAAAGGACAAAATCATCCCATTTGCAACAACATGGATGGACCTGGAGGGAATTATGCTAAGCAAAATACACCAGACTGAGAAAGACAAACATCATATGATTTCACTCATATGTGGAACATAAACAAACACATGGACAAAGAAAATAGTTCAGTGGTTCCAAGGGAAAGGGGGTGGGAGATGGGTACAGGGGGTGAAGGGGAGCACCTATGTGGTGACAGACAAGAAATAAAGTACAACTGAAATTTCACAATGATGTAAACTATTATGAACCAAATGAAAAAAATTTTTATTTTCTTTCCTGTAAAATGGTTTTACCATTCAGTCATGTTTCAAAGGGAATAGTCTAATACTCTAAGATGCCCACAGAATTATATTCCACATACTTTATCAATGCAGTAATTTCAAATGGGGTTCCTAGTTTCACGGAAAAAAACAGATTCTCTTAGCTTCAGACTATGTAAGTATAAAAATGTGACATTTGCTGCCACCTTGTGACTGAGCATAAAACATTCTACATCATCTTGGACTAAGAGATGAAAAGTGGCTTTTTCCCAAGAAGTCAACAAGAAAGATTATAGGACTAAACGCCCAAAGTATTACAATATTTTCCTAATTTACAAAGGGCTTCACCATAGACATGAAACTCTCCAGTTACCTATACTATGTATTTCTACATTAAGCCCCCTGAACTTCCAAAATAGTCCATTTATCTGATATCTAGTTACTAAAAGGATTGTTATTCATAAAGAATACATTAATTGAAAAATAAATCAAGTCCTGGGTTGATTATCTACTTTTTTAATTCTATAAACACAGACAACTCAGGATCCTTGCATCGAGGGATCAGGAGCTTCTTTATTTGGTCATTAATAAAGAAGAAAGTAAGGGAATATTTTTCCATTTTCATTTGGTATCCAACCAAATGGGTTGGGGGGATAATTCTATTATTCAGGGACATTACCCAATTACTATTTCATTATGGTTTATATTTTCCCCCCTCCTTTTCCTTTCTTCTAACTATTTGCCAATAAGGCTGGAGAACCTAAAAGAAGAAACTTAAATCTGTCTATAGTTACAACTATAAAAGAAAATGTGAAAGAGAATAACAGGATTTGCTTTAAAAAAAAAAAAAAAGGTTAGGGATCACAGTATCTACAGACTTAACCACTCCTTCACTTGGGTAATAAGATAATCAAAAGTTGCATCAAATCTGACTGGGAAAATGAACGGAAGAGAAATGGTTAAAAAATCATCTTTAAAATCTCTGATGTGTTTACTCTGTAGAACATGTTATATTTAGGGTTGACTCTGGAATCAATTTCTTGAGTTCAGAAAAGTCCCCAATATATAAACATGTTGTACACCAGAACATGTTTTCCACTAAATAAAACAAAATTTATGAAACTCTACTATATCAGCTTATTACTTATTCAACAATTATTAAAAACAAGATATTTTGCAATGTAAGGCAATATGCCAACTCCAGTGAGCTAGGCATAAGGCACACTACCTGAACATATGGAACTTACTAAATAACGAAAGAGCCTATAAGCTAGTGCCTGAAAACCAAAATGGTGGATACATTCCTAGAGCGGCCAAGAACAAGCCTATTTAACCATGATCACTTCTATTTATAAGAAAAATAGAGCAGGAGGAAATCACATTACAGATACAAAGTATGATACATTCTGGTCTTATTCAAATGATTACAAAATATTATACATACCTAATCCATCATTATCTCTCTCTTACTAACAGGCCTCCCTCCTTCTCCTTATGTCTTTGCTGAGATGGTGGCATAGAAATTTTGAGCTAAAGTCTATTCTTTGGATTCCCGTTTGTCTACCATTGGATCAAGTTTCACAGAATAGTGGAAATAAAAAGATCCTGGCTATTAAGAAATATCCTAGTCCATGAGGAGCTAATTACAGCTTCAGGAACACTAGGATCTTGGATCTTTCATTAGACAGTGAAAGTGGGTCTTATCTATCAAATTTCCATTTAATAGTACTTAGTATTTATTTAATAACATTTAATAGTAATGGCATAAAGTAGGCACTCAATAAATGTTTACTGAATGATGAAATTCAGCCAAAAAAGGTTATTGGAGTAACTGTGTAGACACAAGACAGTTCTATGAAGACAGACAAAGTGAATGCTTCCGAGCACTGTGAAACTCGTAATTTACTAACTAGTTAGCCCTGGAAACACAAACACGATCACCTGAAATTTTATGTGGTTTTCTACATCTTTAGCATGATACAGTTTTACAAATACCTACAACTCAGAATCATGAAAATAAGCATGCATGCTACAGTACAATACCTTTCAACTTAATTGCCACATCGATATAGGATTGCAGAAATGCCATGGATACTGCTTGCCCTACATTAAAATAAAAAATTCAACAGATATTACAACATGTCTATCTCCAAAGCATCCATATTTATATATATATAAAAAATAGATTTATGGGTTTTCCCAAAACTGCTATTTCTTTTTTTTTCTTTTGAGGAAGATTAGCCCTGAGCTAACATCTGCTGCCAATCCTCCTCTTTTTGCTGAGGAAGACTGGCCCTGAGCTCACATCTGTGCCCATCTTCCTCTACTTTATATGTGGGATGCCTGCCACAGCATGGTGTGCCAAGCAGTGCCACGTCCGCACCCAGGATCCAAACCGGCGAACCCTGGGCCACAAAAGCGGAACATGTGCACTTAACTGCTGCACCACCGGGCCAGCCCCTGCTATTTCTTAATAAGAAATACCTTGGTGTACAGTACTCAATATTGTCTAAACATTTATGAGGGTTCCAAATGCAACTAATTTTCTCCATTCATCCTGGAAGGAATATATTTGAATGGCTATTATTTGAAGATAAAAGCAACAAACTTCCTATAAATCTATAAGAACTACTATAAGTTAAAATCATTCAAGTTAAAATCATTAACTTGAATCACAATAATTTTTCTAAATTAATAAGCTGAACATGTAGTTTAATCACTAACCTTCAATTTGTAAGTCAGACCGACATAATCAGTCTTACAAGCCCAGAATCCGCTAGAAGCAATGTTTCCATATGTGTAGTCTCCCTGGGACACATGAAAGCTATGTCATTTTACCACGTGCAATATACAGGATCAAAAATAAAACCTGCCTACTTTAAGCGTCCTAATATGTAATAGAGACAGTCTCCTCTAAAAGCTCATACTCACAACCAGCATAGAAAAGCACGATGCTGTCAGAAGCCATGACTGTCGCATTAAACGTCTCTTCTGTTAGTTCCACCGTGAGTTCCAAAGGTAACTGTCTCTTCCTATCTCTGTGAACAGTTTCTGCCACTTCATCATCTTGAATATCTAAAATGTTTGAAAACAAATTAATGTAAATATAAATGTATAATTTAAAATATTTACGCTCTTCTCCCTCCCCGGTGAGCATATGGAAATTTAGTACTTTGTAAAAACTTCTGAATTCATGCTATATTATTAAATGCACGATATTTGGAAAACTTTCTAGTTGCCTGGCTTCCTATCTTAAATGACTTAAATGAGATGCCTCCTGACTCAGAAACTGTGAAGTTTTAGTCAAGTCAAAGCAATTATTTAAACTTGTCTAGAAATAATATGAATATTACTATTTTGTTTGTAATAAATATACTAATTTATAATCCATAAAGGTCCTACCATACAAATTTGACAGTGCTTATTTAGCTCCTACTATAAGCCGAGCACCGTGATAGATACTAGGGAAAGTGGTAAACAAAACAACTATAGTCTATGAAAAGTCAGACAATAAACTAATCACTGAATAAATATATAATTATAAATTCTGATCAGTGTAAGAAAGGAGAAGGATACAGTGAGAGATTATAACAGGGAGATTTAGATTGGGAGATCCAATCTCTGCCAGGGAGAGAATCAAGAAAAGAATGTCTTAGGCAAAAAGAATAACATATGCGAAGGCTCTGAGACACAAAAGAGCTTAGCGTATACTAGGTACTGAGGGACAACAAATTTGAGTAAAACAAAACGAGTGGAAAGAATAAATGGCATGAGAAAACTGGGGTAGGCAGTGGCTAAATCATAAGAAGCCATATGAGCCAAGAATTTTGGGTTTTATTCTAAGTGCATCCAGTTGTGGGTCAATTCTAAATATGTAAAAATTTATTAATTTAGATAGATACACAGACAGATGGACTGACCAACTGATGGACCTATCCATTTATCCATCCAAAAACATTTTGAATTTGTAAATATTCTGTTGGAAGTTTGTACACATTGCAAGCTAACACTGAAGGGGCATCTAACTTGCTAAGAGACAAAGCTCCCTAGAAGAGTAGTCACTAGCTGAATATTAAAAGAAAAATAAAACTTAGGGAGGCAGTGAAGGAAGGCAGTGGAGGCATACAGACCAAAGGGCACAGCATTTGCAAAGGCACAGTGGCATGCAAGAACATAATGCAAGTGGAAATGTGAACCCTGACTGGATGTCTGATGGTATTAAGGAATACTGTCAATGTTTTTAGATGTAGTAATAGCATTAATTATGTTAATTTTTAAAGGGGAATTCTTATACTTCTGAAATACACAGGGAAATACTTATGGATGAAATGATATGTTTGGGATTTGCTACAAAACATTAAGGGGAGAGCAGTGATTGAACAGCATAGCCATGGGTGTCGAGTGGTTGGGTGAAGCCAAGTAATGGACACTAGGAGATTCATTCTATTATCCTGTCTACTTTATGGTAAGTTTACAACTCTTTGTAATAACACAGTAAAAAGAAAGGAAGGGACGAAGTGAGGAAGACAATGCATTCAGAGAACTAAAGAATTATTTTCCATATTATTTCTAATATTATAAAATAAAACACTAGATCTAGAGTTCAGTGCATCTCAGCAATTTTCAGCTGTGTGACTCTAGCCAATCACCTAAGTCTCTAGGCCTCAGTGTTCAAATCTGCAAAACATAAGAGTTGCACTATGTTAATTTTAAGTCCTTTTAAATACCACATTCCATGACACTAAAAAGTTAAGTCCTTAATAGAAAAATTAATAAAGGCCTATTTCCTTCTCTACTGTATGTTTTTTCTTATTATTCACATATTTTCATTTTCCTGCTAGTCTTTTATTTCCCAATTCATCCTTTCTTCTCTTATCTTGTTCCAACACCTCCTTTCCCTCTTTCCTATTCACTCTCTCTTAACAAGCTACCTTCACTTGTAAATTTACTCAGTGCTCAGCTCTACCTTTCACCCTTTCATCAATACATTTTTTTAGTCATATGTTTAATTTTTTTTCACATTGTCCTTTTGTAGAACTCAGTCCATTTTATTCTGATTCATCCTGTGCCCATTTCCTTTAAAGGACATTTTTCCTTGTGTTCCATTCTCACATGGTAACAAATTCTTTCCTAATCCTCATCTATTTTTCCTATATAAATGGGAATAAAATGAGAATAGGCGGGAAATTATACATATATTGGCATAACATCATACAATATTATGGGCCAATATGGATTACGGATATAGGAAGTTAAGACCAAAACAACCACTACCAAAAAAAGAAACCCACCCCACAACAAAACAAAAAACAAAAGGCAAAGCTGTAAAAGAAACACCAGAACTAGGCTGGACAGAGAAGATAGGTAGAGAGTCAGAAGAAAGAGAAGGCAGCACCGGAGGGCAAACTAAGGCCAGAGTGTCAGAAAGCAATAGAGGGGATGTGGTAACCAGGAAATCTTGAAACAGGCAACTCCACTGAGGACAGGAATCTTATTCAACTGACATTAGGACAATTCCCCTGACTCTGAAGGTTGGAATATATGAACCATGACAGGAACAAAGCAGGGAGCAGGAGACCAGAACACAGGTCTGCCTATGTAATGACAACACTATGGAGGAGAACTCTGGCTTAAACCACGAACAAGTCTAACCTCTGTATGTCAGAAGAGAATCATGGCAATGCTCAAATCAAGAAACTGGTCACTGGTAAGAGTGAATGCTCAGAGCCCTTATTAAATTTATAATATATATTTTGATCATAATAATGAATGGAACTCATGAAAAGAATACGTAAATTACTTCTTTCTTGGGGCTCTTGATAATATACTATATAAAACATTCAAGTATTTACTAATGGTATACAAGAACAAACAAGACATAACCCTTGCCTTAGAGAAATTATTGACTAGTGGAGGAGAAAGTAAATGAGAAATTACTGAAGAGGACTGATGTTCACAAGTACCAGGAACAATAAGGACCAAAAATAAGACTTCAAGGGGCTGGCCCAGTAGGGTAGTGATTAAGTTCACACACTCCACTTCCGCGGCCCAGGGTTCACAGTTTCGGATCCCGGGCACAGACCTACCACTGCTTGTCAAGCCACACTGTGGTGGCATCCTACATAAAATAGAGAAAGTTTGGCACAGATGTTAGCTCAGCAACAATCTTCCCAAAGCAAAAAGAGGAAGATTGCCAACAGATGTTAGCTCAGGGCCAATCTCCCCGACAAAAAATTTTTTAAAAATATAAGATTTCAAGTCAGAATGCTTAAGTTCTAGTCCAGGTTCCACCACATGCCACTTGTGTGACCTTGGACAGATCACTTAATTCACCTACAAAATGAAGGTGACATCAGCTAACTCAGAGGATAACAATCAAAGTAAGTAATGTGCAAAGGAATAGGCTTGAAAACTATAGAGTACTCCAAAAATGTAAGCAATAAGAGCAATAAGAAGAAAAATCGAAATAACATTAAAAAGAAGTATTAAAATGTTATTGAAATTTACTACCTATGTTGTTAACAATCAGATTTATTTACAACTACAAATACAACTATATTTATTAGAATTTCATTTCCTAATAGGAGCAATAAAAATAAAATATTCTGTGGCTCCTGGGTCATTTTTAAACATGGAGTAGACCAGTACAGCTGCATTTGGAGGACAGAGGCACAGACATGGAAAGCTAGAAGCCTGACATACAACAGTAAAAGGTATCACACTAAACAAAATATAGCATCCTTAACCTCTTTTCACCTAAACAACCTGATAAAATGTGATTCAAAATAAATTTCTTCAGGTTTCTTCATAGATTTGAATATCAATACATTCCATGAGAAAGTTAATTCACTGAAATTTCACTGAGCTTATGGATGCTGAGCAGAATCGGGAGGAGAGTGTGAGCATCACAAACCTATTACCTATATCTGGATCTTCCATGTCATGGTCTTCATCTTCACCTTCTTGTATTTCCTCAATGTGCATATTATTTTCCACATGGGATACTATTAAGTCAATATCATGTAACACCAAAAATTCGACCGGCACTCTCTAGAAACACATTAATTTTAAAAAACATGACTAAAATACTACAAAGCATTTTAATATAAAAATGTTTTACTTGTTTGACACTAAAACTAAACTAAATCTTTGAAATTCAATTTTAAAATTAAACAAATAAGGAAATTAACTCTACAATACTATGAAAAGTATCCAAAGCATACTTTCTATAAAGATAGTGTGCACTGCTGAAAAAGAAAAGGATGGCAAAAAGGAGGAACTGAAAGTCTCACTTGCTTCTTGTCACAATTACATTATACTGAAGTCTGAGACATTTCACACATAACAGCAAGTCCTACCTCAACATAAAATGGAAATATACACAATTACTGCAAACAGGGCCAATAGAAATTATTTTGATATTCCACAAAAATATTCAAAATAATACTTCATCTAAAATAATTCTATGAAAAAGTTCAATTGCCTGTTTAGCTATCACCATAAAAACACTATCTTCCCCTAGGTATTTTAAGAACACCAAATTCTATTCCACTGAGATTATTCCAATAAAATATCTTTCACTAATCCCCATCTATCACATTTTAAATACATGAAGTTTCATGTCACTGGACTATTTTAGTAAATTACCTCTGACTATAACTATACATTAGAACAAAGCTATAGAAGAGCTGCAAGTGTGTCTGTCCTTTGATATCACACAGCTTCATCTTTTTAATATTACATTCAAAGCAAGCAATTTTTTAGTCCTGAAAAAACATAATGGAGCTAAAAGGAAAAGGAATCAAAATCAATGAAACTTAATTTGTTCCAAATATACATAGAAATTGTGGTGAACCTTTCATTGAAGTATAAACATTCACACAGAAAAGAACACAAATTATAAGTGTACAGTTTGATGAATTTTTACAAAGTGGATACACTTACATAACCACTGCACAGACTGACCAGCACACCCAGAGGCCATCTTCTTGCCTCTCCCTGTCATCACGTTCCCCAAAGGTACTCACTACTCTGACTTTCATCACCACCTATATAGTTTGCCAGTTCTTGAAATTACATAATGGAACTATACAGTTTGTACTCTTTTTGTGATGGCTTCTTTTGCTCAACATTATTTGTGAAGTTGATGCATGTTGTTACATATAAAAGAAGTTTATTCTTTTTCAATGTTATAGAATATTCATTATATGAAGATACTAGTCTTTATTTACTTATTTATCCATTCTACTGTGCATGGACATATGTTATTTCCAGTCTGCAACTACTATACATAATACTGCTATAGACATTATTGTAGCTGTCTTGTGGTGCACACATATAAGCATTTCTGTTGGGCAATACTGAGGAATGGAATTCCTGGTTTGTATGATTATACATACCTTCAGCTTTAGTAAGCACTACCAAACACTTTTCCAATTTTCATTGTACCAATTTTTACTCCTACCAGCATATATGAAGGTTCTTGTAACTCCACATCCTTGTTAACACTTGGTATTGTTACCTTTTAAAACTTCAGCCATTCTGGTGGGTGAGTATTGGTATCTCTTGTGACTTCATTTGACTACCTACCTACAGTTTATTTGCTAACTGGAAAGGGGAAAATGTGTCTTATGAAAGAGAGAATTCGCTGTCTTCACCTTAACTCAGAGATCAAACGTGGCATCATTAAGTGAGAAAAACAGACATCATGCACTTTAGGATAAGATGGAACATAAAGAAGCACTATGAATTATTCTTACACAAAATGTTTAATGGAGCTAAGCAATCTTAAATCTAACTTCCAGTCTTTAGAAAATATAAGAAAACAGAGGAATAAGGCAGATAAGAGCAAAAGGAAACAGACAAATCCAGAATAGAGAAAAACTGTCCCCGGTTACCCCAAAAGTCATTGTCATGGGAAAAGGGGGAAGGGAGAGCTAAGACATTAGATTAAGAAACATACCAAATGCAATTCACAATCCTTGACAGGATTTTGGTTCCCAAAAACCATCTGCAGATAATAATTTTTGGATGAGAAAATATGAACACGGACTGGCTATAAGATTAGGCTATGATATTTAGAAATTTTTGTTAATTTTGTTAAATGTGATAATGAGACTGTGATTATATATAGGAAAACTACAGCAGTGTTTAGAGATACATACTAAATATTTATGGGTAAAATGTCATATCTGTAACATTCTTTGAAATGCTTCAGACAAAAAACATAAACAAAACAAATATGACAAAATATTAATTGTTGAATCTAGGTAGTAGGTATAGCCAGCCCTGATGGCCTAGTGGTTAAGATTCGGCGTTCTCACCGCATTGGCCTGGGTTCATTTCCCGGTCAGGGGACCACACCACCCATCTGGCAGCTGTCAAACCGTGGTGGCTGTGTTGCTGTGATGCTGAAAGTTCTGCCACCGGTATTTCAAATACCAGCAGGGTCACCTACAGTGGACACGTTTCAGCACAGCGTCCGGACTAAGACAGACTAGGAAGAACGACCAGGCCACCCACTTCTGAAAACTTAACCCCATGAAGAGCAGTGGAGTACTGGCTGATATAGCGCTGGAAGGTGAGAGGACGATGCAGAAAGATGGGCTGTACGCAGGGTCGCCAGGAGTCAGAATCAACTCGACAGCACTAACAACAAAGGTAGGAGGTACATGGCTGCTCATCCTATTTTTCTTCCTACTTTTTAGTATTTTGATTTTTTTTAATAATAAAACCTTTAACAAATAAATAGAAAGAGCTTTTAAAAACTTATATACTAAGACAGATCTTAGACATTAGCACTATTCCTCATAAGACCATCCTAATACGCCAAAGCCCACTCCTCTCCACAGGGCCTCTGCACTTGTGTTCTCTGCCTAGAACACTCCTTCCCCACTATCCGCAGGCTCATTCCTTTGCTTTATTGTCACTTATCAGTGAGGTCTTCCATGACAACTTTCTCACCTTAACTTGATTTATTTTTTCTGTTGCCCTAACTCCATCTGACACTCTCGCTGTACCTGTTTTGCATCTGTCTTCTGGCACTAGTATATTAGTTCCATGAGGGCTAACTTGGTTTTGTTCGCTGCTGTATCCTCAAAGCCTAAGACTGTGCCTAGAACAAAGCAGGCACATAATAAATACTTAATGAATAAATGAATATTAGTGGATATTTATTGAACACTTACAATGTGGTGGACCCTGTTTTATGTAAGCACTTTACATTATGTCTTTCAATACACTGACCAACAACTTTTAAAGGAGGTATCATTATTATCCCCACTTTATGATGAAAAAAATGGAGACGTACAGAAGTCAAGTAATTTGCCCAGGGTTAGAAAGCAGAATTTGAACTAGGCACTATGATTATATAGAATGAACCCAACACTATATTGCTAATCACTGCCAGAGGGGAAAAAACTACCTGAAGAGCTAACGCAATACTAACAAAAATGTTTTATAACTCCCATTATACACTATAAGGCTTATAATGTAGTAATACAAGTATACAATACTATCTATACAACCAACACTAGTACTTTAAGGGACCTTCAAACCCTTTGTCTGGAGAGGTCCAGGAAAAGGAGAGGGAAGGGATGATTATACGACCCTAGGATCAACATTACTGCCCAGATGAGAAAGTAAAAACGGATGTGCACTGAATTCAATAGAGAGAGTCATCGAAAAGCCTATTCTATCCTTTACAAAAATCATCTTTGCAGGGACAACTACCTACTATATAACCTATCTTACCTTACACTCTACAAAATTATTTGCATTATATTTTAACAATTTATTACATCAAAACTGGGAAACCAGCATAAACTTTAATTCTTCTATAAACCTATTTCCAAATAGCAAATATTGCAATTTCTTATTTAAGGATCTTTATCTACTAGCAAAAAATGGCTTCAGAAGTATTCTTTCCACTACCTGGCCAAAAAGCAGAGCATACGAACCCCATACTATACATATCTGAAAAATACTACAGTTTTCAAAGTATTTTCCTATTTGGTCTTATAAAATTTTTTGTAAGTTAGAAAGGGAGGTTTTATGACTATTTCACAAATGAGAAAACTGAGCTTGAAGAAGTTGATTCATTTATGTGGTCCCAGAACTAGAAGGAACAGAATCCAAGTCTTCTGATTCTTAACCCAGTATTCCTGCCATAGACTTAGGCAAGAGAATTAAAGTTTAAATTGCCTAGTAGTTCATAACATACTAATCAATTTTTTAGCATATGTATACAATATTTAGAAAATGTTTGGAAATAAAGAGTTCTTAATAATTAAGAAAAATTTAAGGAAAAAGGGGATATTGATAAAAATTTACAAAGGAAATATAAATGGCCAAGAAACCTTCAAAAGTTCAACCTCAGACATGCAAATTAAAACAGAACTGTTTTTGTCTATAGAAAAAATTTTTTTAAGATTAATGCTCAGTATTGACAAAGGTGTATGAGAAACAAGGAATTTCAAACCCTGCTGGTAAAAATGTAACCTTCCTGGAGGCAGTTTGACAATGTATTTTAAAAATCTTAAAAATTCTCATTTTGGGGCCGGCCTGGTGGCACAGCGGTTAAGTTCATGCACTCCGCTTTGGCAGCCCGGGGTTCGCAGGTTTGGATCTACACACCACTCATCAAGCCATGCTGTGGCAGCATCCCACACACAAGATAGAGAAAGATTGGCACAAACGTCAGCTCAGTGACAATCTTCCTTACCAAAAAATAAATAAGTTCCCATTTCCTCTGACAAATTTCACTTCCAGAAATTTAGCCAAGGAAAGAATCAATGATGTTCAAAACAGCGCATAAATGGGGCAGGCCCCGTGGCTGAGTGGTTAAGTTCATGTGCTCCTGCTTCAGCAGCACAGGGTTTCACACTTCGGATGCTGGGCACAGACATGGCACCACTCATTAGGCCATGCTGAGGCGGCATCCTACACAGCACAACCAGAGGGATCTACAACTAGAATATACAACCATGTACTGGGGGGATTTGAGGAGAAGAAGGCAAAAAAAAAGAGAGAAGAAGTTGGCAACAGTTGTTGGCTCAGGTGCCAATCTTTAAAAAAAGAAAAAGACAGTGCACAAAGGCAGGCCTCATAGCACAATAGCAAGTATATAAATATAATTTTTGGTGAAAAGTAGGATATATAGCATCTTAATTTTAATTAAAAATTCTAATTTTTAAATTAGGATTCTAATTTTCTTAAAAATACATATATATGTAAATATACATGAACCTTGGAAAAGAGCTAGACTAACAAATGAAAAAAGCACAGCAAAATGTTAACAGCAATCATCACTGAACAGCGGCAATATATAGAATTTTTCAGTAATAAACCTATATTACTTTAGGACCACACGTATTAACTTTCTTTAAAGAAGCAGACTGTGTAGACCGATGCATAAAGGGACTGACCTCTTCTCTTTTGAAGATCACATTAGTGTGCTGAGGAATGTCCACTGCCAGAGAGTCCCTGGTTCAAAACGGAAATAAACATTTATATTGCTAATTGGAAGAATGACAGGCATCCAGGACATCAATCTACAATAGAACTGTAAGTTCTCACACTAAGAAAGGTATATGAAAAAAGGATTACCATTTAGTGAGACTGAGAAATTTTACACTTAACTACAGACCAGATTTTCTAGTCTCCATCTTAATCTACATCTTCATTTAACAAAGTTTAAAGGTCTAAATTTTAATCAAGCTAATAATTAATGTATAGACTTTAGCCTAGCAACTTTCTAACTATATTAGAATCTATTAGAAATTCGAGTTTATTTGCAAGTGAATAGATTACCATATTTAAAAATGATAAGATTATTAGTATTTTGCTAAATATAGTGAATATTTCACGTTTAACATACCTCATCAAGAGTAGAACTCCTGCCTTTCCCAGAAGACGCCAAGCAACCCATTCTGCGGTTCTTCTGTCAGCTTCATATGTAGCTTGTTGACTAACAATAAAAACCAGCGGTAATCCTAGTTGGAGGTGAACAGTTGAAACTTGTTGAGGATCTTCGGCAACTTCAGTCTTCATTTAAAAAAAAAAACAAAATGTCTTCACTATTCCAAGATTTGGATTTAACCCTGCTAATTCTTATTAATAAAGTCATGAGTAAAAAACAAATCTGTGAAATAAATCCAACATTAACAGAAATGGTCTCATAATTTCCTAAGTTTAATGCTCCCAATGTACCCACATAATTTAAGCATTATTAAACTAACAAATTTTTAAGGAGTTAAACATGAAATTACAACCATAAAGAATACACATATTATAAAGAAACAAACAAAACAATAAATAAAGCACTATGGTACTGATAAATAGATATCTATTTCAAATGAAACAGAACAGATAACTAAGGAGTAAATTCTTTGATATAAGAATTTAACATATAATAAATAACATTACAGAACAATGAGGAACATCTGAGTTACAAAAGCAGCTTGCATACACACATCTAATTTCACTCCCTCCAGATATCCCAGGAAAACTACAGCAGTAGGATTTTTTAAAAAAGATAAACTTACGTATGCGAAGAAAGAAAACCAAAAGGCAGCAAAATTTTGGAAGCTGAAGAACAGAATAATAACTGACTTAGGAGAATTTACAAAGCAAAACTCTAAGCCAAGAGAGGGAAAGCTAAGAAACAATTCAGTTTTAACTGCAAATCCTAAAATTGCTCAGGAACTGTCAGTGCCTGGTATCTCTGAAACTGGGAGGGTGAATGGCACAAAGGCTCTAAAATAAGGAGGAATAGGTAAAAGCTTTGGAGAAGCAATTAGATCCCGAGATTCCCCTCCCTAATGCCATGAGCTTAGGCAACCGTCCCTCCCTCACACCAGAAGAAATCTGCGGGAACTTCAGGAACAGGTGAGAATGTGAATACCATGCCAAAAGCAGGCCGATTAAATTACCAAATGCTGGGACACTCCCCAGGCCCTTTCCCACTCAATTCCCAGAATGCTAGCAGCCAGACTTCTGTCCTCCAGCAGACGAGTGGAACATGCTTTTCTGGGGATCTTGAACACCCGTGAGGAAAAGCCTAAAGGTACCGACATTGGAGTTCACCAAAAAGCAGCCCAGGTCCGATAACCCTAAAGAGCTCAGAGTTAACAAGTCCCATCTACACTGTCAGAATTTCCAATTGGCTTTTTAGTTTCATATTCTAATCAAGAACAGATATCCAAGAAGTAACAAACATCTGAGGAGAGCCTCTAACATGAAAGACAGAGACAAGGACAAACAGAAAAATAAGTTACAGGGAGGAAACACAGACTACGCAGGAAGAAGCAAGGTTCAGAAAACCACCACAGACAAGCTCAAGGAGATGGGAAGACATTGCATCCATAAAGAAATGGAAAATAAAGTTAAACAAATCTGCCAGAAAGTACAGCAAAAGATAGATGGAAAACAGGGGAGGAAAAAGATAATAAAATTGAAGGAGGTCCAACATCCAAATAGGAGTCCCAGAAAGAAAGGAGAGAGAGAACAGAAAGGAACAAATCGTTGCTGAAATAAACACAAGTTTCCCACAACTGAAAGACATGAGTGCCAGATTGAAGAAGCCCACCGAGTAACCAACATAGTGGTTAGAAGCAGATACACAGAAAGATGCATTCTTGCCAATTATGAGGATTAAAAAATCCTAAAAGCTTCCAGAGGGAATCCTATATTTACCTATGGTAGGCAGAATTCTAAAATGGCCCCCAAGATTCCTAGTATACAAATCTTGTATAATCCCCATCCCTTGAGCGTGGTTGGGACTCAGAGGACAGCCATTCCCTTGATTAAATTACATTATATAAGACTCTGTCTAGCACAATGGAGTGAGATTGCCCTGTTGGCTTTGAAGGAGGAAGCTGCAATTTTCTGAGAGGACCATGTGACCAGGACCTGAGAACAGCCTATAGGAGCTGAGAGCAACACCAACCAACAGCTAGCAAGAAGGTGGGGACCTGAGCTACAATCACTTGGAACAAAACTATGCCAAAACTTGAAAGGGTAGAACAGCCTGAAGGAGTAGAAGAGCCTGGCTTCTTCTTTGTGTACTTAAAGAACTAAAAGCATTTCAGTTTTACAACATGAAAAGGGGGAACAGGTAGTAAGTCTAGAGATACAGCAAGGTGCCTAATCATTAAAAAACATGTAGAGCCTGCTAAGAAAGTAGGGCTTTATTCTGTAAATTAAATGAAGCCATTTAGGAATTGTAAGAATTATTGTAACATGATCATAAATGTGTTTCAAAATTATCACTCTGTCGGCAATAGGGAGTATGAATTTAAAGGGAGTGAAAATCGAGGAATAGAAACCAGATCAGTTACTATAACTAAAATAGTACATATGAGAGATGGAAAGGACCTGGATTAAAGTATTGGCTGTTAGAATGAAGAATTCTTAAGATATTTAAGATGTAAAACTAGATGCAGGAAAATGCAGAAATTGAGAAAGATTTCCCAGGTTTCTGTCCTGAATGACTGGATAGTAAATTAACCAAGATAATGGAGAAAGAACAGATAGTGGACAAGGACAACACATTAATGTTAGACATGTTGACCTTAAGGAGGGACACATCTAACTAGGAGTTAGAGATATGAGAGATCTATCTAATTAGTAGTTAGATACATGGGACAGGAACTCCAAAGAAACACGTGACCTGAAAATTCAGATCTGAGAATCAGTATAGTTAATGCCACAGAAACAGATAAGATCACTTGGAGGGTATGTTCTAAGCATCCATCATTGTGCATGTAGGAAAGCACCCCAAAACCTGATGCTTAAAATAAGAAGAATCATTTATTTTGTTCATATATCTGCAAGCTCATCTCTGCTCCACGTGACACTAGTGGGGCATTTCCATTGGAAGCCGATGATTCCACTTTAAAGATGGCTCATTCACTGGCTAGCAAGCTGTTGCTGAATACGTGTTATGAGCTCAGCCAGGGCTGTGGGCTAGAGGCTTTAGGCTTTTCCTCACGGTTGTTCAAGATCCCCAGAAAAGCATGTTCCAGTCATCTGCTGGAGGACAGAAGTCTGGCTGCTAGCATTCTGGGAATTGAGTGGGAAAGGGCCTGGGGAGTGTCCCAGCATTTGGTAATTTAATCTTCACATGGGCTTCTCCTCAAGCTTAGTCTCACAGCAAGTAGATGGGTTTCAAGAAAGAATAACCAAAGAGAACACAGCATTTTGTGACATACAGTCTCAGAAGTCACATATCACAACTTCAGCCTAATTCTATCGGTCAAGGCAATCACAAAGGCCCAACTAGGTTCAGGAATAGGGGACACAGATTCTACCACTGGATAGGCACAGTGATAAGGTCACATGATAGGAAGAGCTTATGAGTTGGGAGATACTGTTATTGCCATCTTTGGAAAATATAATCAAAGCCTGATACATTGAGGCTTTGGGGAGTGAGTAAGGATTGAGTGTATTTTGCTAGTGGGAGGGATGTGAATTGTTGTAGTCAGTAGTCTGCCCTCTGGCTGACAATAATTCACACTCCTTTCCCATGCAAGATACACTCATCTCCAAGACTCCTAAAGCCTCATATCAGACCTTGAGATCAGCACACAGTCTGAGACCTCATCATCTACATTCAGGTCCAGGTGAAGAGGAGGCTCATCTAGTGGGGTCCCTTGGGTATAGCTCCTTGAGAACTATTCCTCTCAATCTGAAGACCCTTGAACTAAAGACACAAATTACTTGTCCCCAGTACATACTCAAGAGACAATGATGGAATAGGCACAGGATAACCACAATATATACTCCTTTGCTAAAGGGGGGAAAGGAGGCACACAATAGTCACTAGTGCATAGCAATTCTGAAGTCCATCCAGACACATGTTGCCAGTTCCTTGATTAGGGCTCAGTCCTACTCCCTAAGGGTTGTTCTCTGAGGCTCTTGGTTACAAACTCTGGGCTCTTGGTCTGTCCTCTATCTCATCCTTTCTTGTTTACAAAAAGCATTCTGTGTGTGTGCAGCTGAGCAGATTTCTCAGCCTTTTCCTGCACATAGAAATTTGGGGATCTAAAGGTCTCTTTTCTTTTTGTATTGTTTCTGTCCCTTTCTATACAAGCTTGTATAATTCTTTCAAAACACTGTGGTTTCTTAATTAAAGTTATAACCCATTCCATTAGACAAAAGACAAAATCACTAATGTTCTTGATAGGTAGAAAAAGTAATGGAGTAGTATCATAAAAATTACAACTAGTAATTTTATGTCTTTAACAATATGGTATATTTTTATATATGTATTATATATATAATACATATAAATTAATGTAAGACAATATATAAAAGTGACAGAGGGGCTGGCCTGGTGGCATAGCAGTTAAGTTCGCACACTCTGATCCAGCGGCCTGGGGTTTGCTGGTTCAGATCCCAGGCACGGACCTACACACTGCTTATCAAGCCATGCTGTGGCAGGCATCCCACATATAAAGTAGAGGAAGATGGGCACAAATGTTATGTCAGGGCCAATCTTCCTCAGCAAAAAAAGAGGAGGATTGGCAGTGGATGTTAGCTCAGGGCTAAGCTTCCTCAAAAAAAAAAGTGACAAACATTCTTACATTGGGGTGGGATTATCAATATTTGTCTAAAATTCATATATTACCATTAAATTACTTAACTGAGAAAATAAATTTCAAAAAAAGATATAAGAAGAAAAAGGATTATGAGAGACCACTATGAACTATACACCAACAAACTGGATAACTTAGAAGAAATGGATAAATTCCTAAAACATACACCTACCAAGACTGAATCATGAAGAAATAGAAAATCTGAACAGACATTAACTAGTAAGGAGATTGAATCAGGAATCAAACACCTTTCAACAAAAAAAAGCCCAGGCCCAGATGGCTTCACTGGAGAATTCTGCCAAACATTTAAGGAAGAATTAATGCCACTCTTTCTCAAGCTCTTCCAAAAATAAGAGGAGGGAACACATTCAAACTCACTGTATGAAGCCAACATCACTCTGATAACAAAGCCAGACAAAGTTATACAACAAGAAGAGAACTATAGAT